AACAAAGGTACCAGAAACAAATGATAACAAGACAAAAGCAATTTAACTGTATTAACATTAGACAAAAATACAAGTGAAGAATATTGACAGGTGCTTGAAGAATTATTTCACATAGCTAAAAGGTGTGAATATAATAATATAGTTTCAAAACACAAAACAAAACTAGATACAACCACATAGAGGAATTGAGAGATCCATTATCACATTAGGTGATGCCAGTACTTTAATTTATGAAAGATCGAATAGGTTAAAAAATGTTGAAAATTTGAATAATATAATTAACCTTGTTCTAAAATATATTTTGGGGGCTGGGATATAGCTCAGTACCTGCCTTGCATTCACAGGGTCCTCAATCCGATCACCAGTATCATATCTAACTTTGTACACATATAATAGACAACAAAGTATTTTACACACAGTCAGAACTTCACAAAAATTATGTTAACAAGTCTCAAAGAAAATCTGAAGAAATTTCTTCTCTATACATAGATCAATGACAGGATATATTTACTGATTACAATGCAATGAAATTAGCAGTTATGAAAAGGAGACAAAAATCTATTCGGATAGCTACTAAATAACTCTTGGGGAAAGAGGAATTAAATATAAATTACAAGCTAGTTAGACTAAAACTTGCAAAATATGACAAAGAAGCATATAGAAATAGTACTTAGCATATATTTTAAATGTTAATTTTGGATCTTTATAAATTAAATTTTTTTCTGTGTGAGAAATTTTCATTCCTCAAATGTCAAAACTATATAAATTCAGAAATATCTCACTTTCATTTCTTTCCACATTGCACCTCACCGATACTCATCCCTATAGGTAGTTTTAAAAATCAGAATTTGGTTTATCTTTTTTTTTTTTTTTTTAAACTAAGGCAGTGGTAGGGGAAATTATGGCAAACACTTCGTTTTTCTTTTAAAACCAAAGATTTTATTGTATGAGTTTTTTTTTTTTTGACTTTTAAAAGTTGTTTAATTGTAGTGTTGGCACTTTGCAATTGAAAGTAGGGTTTGGTTTGCAGTTTGGGTCCTTGTCTCTAAAAGGCTTGCCATCATGGTCCGCCATCATGGAACTAAGGAACTGTGTATTATTTTTGTTTTTTCTTTTTACGTACCTTCTCTACTTTGTCAGATGTTTACCCATTAATTAAGATGCTGGCTTTTATATCAGAATCTACTGATTTTTATCTTACTCTTATTATTTTAAAATCAAGAATCTTATTATTTTAAAATCCAATGTTTTTGGATTCTGGGGCAGTGCTCATTTTTTTCTCCTGAGGTAAATTATCATTAAATTATTAAACATTATATTTTGTTTGGCCTTTTGGTTGATTCTCATCTTTGTTAATCAATACATGTAAACATTTCAAAACAACAGGAATAATTTGACCTTCAGATACAAGTATAATGTTTTTGTTTTTTCTTTCATTTTTTTATAAAGTGTTTCAGAAAACATAAAGCAACCAAGGAAATATTAAATAAAGACCTATCTAACGAACTTTCTGGGACTAGACTTTCTATAAGTCTCTTTGCTTCTTCCATTCTTCTAACTTCATGTTTAAATCTGAAATCTACCTGCTTCCTTGCCATTTCATGTTAATGATTATAAAAATATTCAGTCATCAATTACAACATTTAAAGAATTTTTTTCTTACATTTGTCACCTTGATGCAATGATATATCTAATTCTTAGGGTGGAAAATGAGAAAAGCTGCTTCTTGTCCCAGACTTCTCATTATTCTTTGTGATTTAGAATTTGAAATTTGTATAACCATAAATTTACAACTGAATCACCTAGTAATCAAATCCAAGCCTGTGATTGTTATTTCCTTATCTATTAACATTTTTAAAAATCCAAATCTTTCACCACTAGCTTCTCTCACTCCCCAATCTTTTATTTATGTTGTAAAGTAAAACACTTTAATATTATTCCAAGTCAGTTACTTTACACATTTTCATGTATAGACTAGCGTTCTATAATAAAAAGTAATAACCCAGTATTCTTTATTCAGATGTTTTCTTTCTTTGTCGAATTCATTTTTTGGTGTTCACCATTTCTTTTTTTCACCTGAAAATACTATTTTTGCTTATCAAAAACTGCCTTCCGCTGTCTCTTCCATCTTTGTTTGGAAGGTAGTCCATGATATAACTGTGGAGGACCGTCAGCGGCTGAAAAGATAAGTATGAAATATAAATGACCTTTATTTTGAGAATGCGGGGAGAGACACCCCCGATCCCCTGGGGCCCGGCATCTTCCCCTGGGTCTGCGATCTCTCTATGGAACTCTTGGAGTGGGGTTATACATGTAGCTTAGGTTAGGGGTGGTGCCTGAGGGCCATTAGGGATGCACAGGTAGCCCATTGGTATTCTTTTGGCTCTAGAGCTAAATTCCTAGGGGTGGGGGAGATAGGAGCTCCTTGGTTTTCCCTCTAAGGCTTCACGGGCTACAGTGTCCTGTCTGGGCCAAAACTCTTTCAGTCCACACTTCAAATGGTACAACTGCTGCATTGATTTTCCTGTGAACTTAGATGGTTACTCCATGTGTCCTGAATAGTCTGGGTGATATTCTGCATAGAATTCTTCATTTTTTCCTAAATATGTTTTTGCAAAGCAGGTTGAAGAGATATGTATCTTCTTTCACGTTACAAATATTTGAAGGAATCTAGCAGAAGTCATGATTATGAATGAATTATGCTGGTGAGGCATACTGAGAATTACCTAATCTGGCTCATTTGAGATACGAGAAAATACAGGCACACAATAGTTCAGTGACCTGATTGGCAACATAGAGGACAAAGACACACAGGGAAACATGAAGGAAAAGCCTGCATGAAAATATAGTAATCTGTACTGGGGACCTGGAATTCAACTCAGATCTAGTTTTCAGCTCATGGCTATTTGACGAAAAGAAAAGTAAATTAGTAGGTCAGAGGAACAGAGTGCTGTTTTCTTGAAATATATCTCACTATTTATCCTATTGTAAAAAAAATACGCAGTTTTTCTGTCATTTTCATTATTATTGCTTCATTGCTGTTCTCAAAGACTAACCACACTGCCAGGTTATACATTATTTCTGGCCTATCATCTCCAATTCTAAGCATTGATTTCTGTGTTTTGTGGACTTTTTCCCGTAGGCTAAATTAATTCTTTTTTATTAAATTATTGGCAGAATGTTTTTTCCACATTTTTAAAAGAGCTTTGGTTATGAAAGAAATTTTTATTACATATGTACTTTAACCCCAAAGGAAATCAAAAAGAAAAATAAACTTTAACAAAAAATTAATTTTCAATTTACAAGGATATTAACAGATGAAGTATGGTTAGAAAAATTTCCTGAAATAAAATAACCACAATTGCCCTTCAATTCTTGCCATCAGTGTGGTTTGTCACAATACCAAATTAAACTCATTTAAAAAAAATACTATGTGTTCTTTTAAACATATTTTCCTTAAATTTAAGCAAAAGGAAAAACTACTCAAAGCAATAAATATTGGAGTATTTACTTTTTGTATGGTAGTGTGGTAGGCTCTGAAAAGAACAGTAAAATGAATAAGTCTCTATGGGGTGTGTCTCTCTTTTTCAAAAGTCTTTTTAAAATTTTTTATTTTATTGAATAAAGGTATTTCACAACAAAATAGTAGAATAACAATAATTAATATATTGCATATTGTTATCTTCAAAATAGGGTACAAGACATGGACATAAAAAAAATAAAAAAAACCTTTGCACAGACAGAAATTTAGGGTTTGTGAGACAATTACACAAGTTTCTGCGCTTTCTTTTTTTTTTTTTTTTTTTTGCCCATTAGCAATCTGCAAGGCACCTGGCACCATTAATGAACTTTAACATTAATTCAACAAGTATTTACTGTATACTTATTACAAGTCACTGATAGCCAGTGCGGATCCCCTAGCTCTCATTCTTATGCCTTTGGAATTTATAATCAAATAGGGGAGAAACCCAAAATAAGTAATTAAGAAAAATACGATACATAAGCACAATAGAGAGAAAAAAAAAAATCAAGAGGAGGCACACAGGGAATTCTTGGCCTGTTGATTTGCAGTTTCTAGCAGCTAGCACCTATTTTTCTTCAAATAGAGTTGCTAGGGTGGGTCTCAGCAGGGTCTGGAAGTAAAGACCTGAATGAAAGGGTTAGCTAAACATCATGGGTGACAAAATAGTCCAAGCAGTGGGACTGACAAATACCAAGGCCTTCAGTTGGGAGTATGTGGGACCTTTATTGGGGTGAAGCAGGACCTAATGGTCAGTGTCGGTAAACCGGGCCCACTAGAGAAACAGCAGAGAAAATGTACAACTTAAAGGTTAGATATTGGCTTTTACTCTGATTTCATTAGAGGACTTGTTTGAGCACAGGAATAACACGATCTGGTTTATAGTTTAGGTGGACGGCGACCAAAATTAGTCATTTCCAGAGAGCACAGATAAGGAAAGTCACTATGTCCAGAGAAGATGGCTGATTTTGGTAGACGGTATGACGAAAAATGGTTGATTTCTGCATATATATATTTGGTGGAGTCATAAGAATTCGCTGAAAGTCTGAATGTAAGATGAGAAAGAGGACAAGGTGGAAAAAAGTTTCACTTTCATTGTAAACCTCTCGATTGCTGGTTTTTAACCTCTATGTGTACTGGCATCAGTACACTTAAAAAGTCCTCCCAATGCTTCTTCCACAGCAAACGCATGTTGGGCTTAGAGAGCCTGCCAGTTCAGGGACAGCCCCACGCTTTCAGCGGACAGACGGGCAGCACAGGACTCTGCAGACAGCGTGGGCCTCAGGCGAGCAGACCTCACCAACACTTCGCGGAAGACAGAAATCGATCCTAGGAACTCTCGCAACTTCACGAAAGCCACGCCTCTAACAAGGATCCGCCCATTTTCGATCCGCAGCAAAGCGCAGGTTTCCGGAGGGACCTGATTCCAGAGCGGACCAAACCGGACGGAGGTCTCGCGCTTTCCGGTTTTGGTTTCCTTCTGGGTGACTTTTGGCTGGGCGGAGCAGGGAAGGTGCGGAGACGAGCCTGTTTTGCGCAGGCGCAGTTGGAGGTCTACGCGTGGTGCAATGTCTGGGCTGCATGTTTCCCGAGTGCGGACCTTGTATAGGCGCATCTTGCAGTTACACCAGCTTCTGCCCCCAGATCTCAAAGCCCTGGGAGACCAGTACGTAAAGGACGAATTTAGGAGACATAAGACTGTTGGTTCTGAGGAGGCCCAGCGTTTCTTGCAGGAATGGGAGGCAAGTGACGCCCCCTTTACTTCGCCCCAGACTTTTGAGGTTCCTCAGTGGTGTCCCGGTTTGTATCTTTCAGAAACTGCCAACCTGCTCATATCTACTACCGCCTACAGGCTCAAACTGAGCGGAGCATGTGTGTGTGTGGGGGGTTGTTCCATGTGAATTAAACAATGTGAAGCTGTGCGGAGAACACTTTACATCCGAACCCAGCCCCCACGCTTTCCAGGTTCCCCCGCGCGCTTCTCGCTGGAGCAGATTCCTTTAACACCGAAGTCTTCAGTTTAGTTTAGCGTTGAGCTCTTGCAGATGTCAGGCGCTGGAGAGGGCAGGGTGGCAGAACACAAAGTTGACCTACTCCACGGTTAGGTGCTCAGCGCGCGCCAGCTTTTGTCCCTTATATTGCCTTTGCACGTAGCAAATACCTATTAAGAGTTAATGGTTTTCTCATCTAGACTTACAGGCCTGGCTCCATGATTTATTATTATTGTTTTATTCGCAGCTCTTGCTAAGTTTCTCACTCGACCAATACAAAACTCAGGCAACCTTGGCTATCACAATCTTTAAAGAAAAAGTGCCAGTTTAGATTAAGCTTGGTTTCTTTAGGGTCCCAAGTGACTTGACTTTGCTGTATCACCCTGCTCTATTAAGGAGACACATGAATTGAGGAATAGTCATTTGATTTTTTTTTTCTTTTTGAGAGGAAGAGAAATACCGTTCAAAATATTTTGTGCATCTGAAAGTGTATATGTTCCTTAGTATTTCTTCTAATTTTTCTATATAAAGAAATGAATGGGATTGGAAATCAGAGAACATTTTAGCTAGGATTCAAAAGTTGAAAGCTGGTTGGTATGAGAATAGAGATGAGCAGTTCTTTAGCTTGTAGAGTTGCTGGCTGGAGGTGATTGAAGTCTGCTTTAAATCATACAGGTTATGTTAGGGTAAACAGAGCATTTGTAGTGAAATCCAGACTTTGTGATTGTAGAATCATTGACATTTTAAAGAGGACACATAGGACGGTGGTGAAAATTAGAACTTTGCTAAAAATCATGATATATTACATATATACCCCAAGGAAAGGAAGTGTATTCTTTTTAATTGTGGACCACAGAATTGCAGGCTTCTCCCTTCCAACTGAGGACTGAACCCAGGGATCTCTAAGTCATGGCCTCAGCACTTTTTGAGACAGAGTCTTGGTAAGTTGCCCAGGCAGGCCTGGAACTTGGAATCTCCCTGCTTCAGCTTCCTAAGTAGCTGAGATTACATGGGTGTTATAAGGTAGCTTGATTGTAAAAAGTGGATCAGCAACTAAATGTTACTGGGTTCAGAGTTGCTCTTTTTCCATTTTCTAATGTCTTATTCATTTTTTTCCTGTCTACAGAAGACTAAAGTTTTTGTTATAGAGATCTTTCATTTCCTTGGATAAAGTCTTAAGTGTTGTATGTAGTTTTAGTTCTTTTTATTTATTTTTGGACACTAGCATGAAGGGAATTGCTTTCTTTGGTTTTGTTCTCCTTAGGTTCAGTGCTATTAATTTTGCGTGTTGACTTTATACATATGTTGCCACTTTGCTGAATTTGTTTAGTAGGTCTAAGAGTCTTCTGGTGAAGTTTTTTAAAAAATTTTTTTCTCTGTAAAGAATCATATCATTTGCAAATGAAGATAGATTTTTTTCTCTCCTGCTTATATACCTTTTATTCCTCTTGCCTGATTGTGCTGCCTATTTTTTTTTTATTTTAAAGAGAATAAAACCATGCAAAATAAAACAGAATAAAACCATTCAAAACAAAACACTGAATGTGATACAGGATTTCCAAACTAGATACTAGAAAATTAACAATAGCTACCATAATGTCTCTTGTTATCTTTAAAATAGCTGACCACATGACCAGACATAATAAAATCAAACAAAACAGAATAGAATACAACCAATCAAAACAAAATAATGAAAGTGATACAGAACTTCAAAACAAGATAATGGGAAATAAAAAATGGCTACCATAATATATCTTGTTATCTTTGAAATAGCTGTCCATGCCATCAGATATAGTGAAATCAAACAAAACAGAATAAAACCAAACAATGAAAATGATACAGGACTTTAAAACAAGATAATAGGGAGGTTTTTTTTTTTTTTTTTTTTTTTTGTTTTGTTTGTTTTGGTTTGGTTTGGTTTGGTACCAGGGATTAAACTCCTGACCTTGTGCCTGCCAAGCAAGTGCTTGTGCTGCTGAGCTAAACCCCTGGCCTGATAATGGGGATTTAACAATGGCTACCGTCTTTAGAAGGAGATCCTCCATAGTTGCTATATTGCATATTGTTATCCTCTAAATAGAAGATCAGACTATCAGCTGTAGGCCTGCAAAGTCAATCTAACACTAAACACTACAAGCATTAGTTTTGTTTTGTTTTGTTTTGTTTTACACTTCAATAGCTATTGTGATAGCCTGTGTTTCTCCGAATCAGCCAGTTGCTTATTTGCGGGAAAGAGGATGATGGCTCCCCTTGCCTCCCAGCCTGTGTGCCAGCTGCCTCACAGGAAGGGGTTGGCTTCTTGTTCTTCTCATGTGATCCATGACTGGTGCTGACATAGGAAGGTGCTGGCTGCTTCTGGCAACCCATGACTGGCCTCTGCGTAAGTTTTGGGTACTTTAACAGAAATTGCAAGAGTGGATACCTGTCTTGTTCCTGATTTTAGAAGGAATGCTTTCAGTTTTTTCACATATAGTATGATGTTGGTTGTGGATTTTTCTTAAGTGGCTTTTTATCAGATTGAGATTAAGTCCTATACCTATTTTTGTCAGTGTTGTTAACATGAAGGAATGTTGGACTTTTTCAAAGTTTTTCTGCTCACATTGAGATAACCTGTAATTTTTATACTTCTACTTATCTCATACATTGATTCATGTATGTTGTACCATTCTTGCATCCCTGGGATAAAGCTGACTTGCTTATGATGTAGGATCCTTTTAATGATTTATTGTATTGTGTTTGCGTATCTCATTAAGGATTTTTATATCTGTGTTCATTAAGGATATCCACTGTTAGGGTTATTTGTTTGTTTGTTTTGTCGAACCTGCTCAGGTTTGATATCAGGGTCATGCTGGCTTTCAAGAATAAATTCTCTTTCAGGTTTATGGAAGAGTTTGAGAAGTATTGAATTTCATCTTCTCTGAAGTTCTGGTAAAACTCAGTGGTGAATCTACTGGGTCCTGAGATTTTCTTTATTAATTTTTTTTATTTTTTATTTTTTTTGTACTTTGTATTGAAGTCACAGCCTCATGCCTACCACTGAGCTAAATCCCCGGCTCCCTTTTTTTAAAATTTTAAAATGAAAAAAGAATAATAAATATCACATCTGAGCTTTTCTTGGTAGAGTTTTTACTACTATTCAATTTCATTGCCTCTTACAGGCCTATTCAAGGCTTTTATATCTTCTTGCTTCATTTTAGTAAATCATATTTGCCTAGGAATCAATCCATTTCTTCTAGATTTTCCAATTTGTTGGGATGTAAGTTTCTGAAATAATGTCAATAACTTTGGATTTCAGTAGTATCTGTTATGATCTTGCTTTTTTCATTTCTAATTGCATTGATATGGGTCTATTCTTTCCTTCTTTTGGTAAGTCTGGCTGTTTGTCACTTGTATCTATCCTTCCAAAGACTCAATTCTTGCTTTTCTGATACTTTGTATTTAAGTTTTTAGTTTCAGTATCATTGATTTTTGTTCTTATCTTCATATTTTCTTTTAATAAGGCAATTTGGTCTTGGACACTGAAGAACTGGATTTAAATTCATAGTTGGACATTTATTAGATGTTTTATCATTTAATTTTTCAGTCTTGTTAGTAAAATAGTGTTTACAATATACATCTCAAAATTAGTGTATGCAAATGAATTTAAAGGCACTTTTTATGTTAATTGTAATGAAGCTCTTAGATATTAAGGTGTTTGTTAAGCGATATCTTTAATTAGGTTAGTTTGTGGCTGTACAGAAAGGTGCTCTGTGCTGGCAAGAAATAAGACTATGAGAAGCCCTATAGTATAAGAATTTGGAATCTTCTTAGGGGAGATGTAGGGAGGAACAGAAACTTAGTTTAAATTGAAAATAGATTAAAAGAGAGAGAAGATATAAGGAAAAGAACGGGGTAATGTATTATTCAACCTAAACAGCTTGATAACCAAAATATTTCTGTTTTAACTCTTTTGAAATAAGTTTAGACTTACAGAAGATTTACAAAGACAGAACATAATTCCCATACATCTTACACCTGACTTACCCATCTGATAACATAACCAGGATACTTTTATTAAAATTAAGAAATTAACATTGTTATAATATTAGTAATTGCAGGATTTATTCACATTTTGCCAGGACTTCCATGAATATCCTTATCCTGTTCCGGATCTAGTCTGAATTCCATGTTGAATTTAGTTATCTTTTCTCCTTAATCTCTTTCCAGTCTGTAATATTTGCTTATTCCTTTTTTTTGGTAATCTTTCCTGAATTTTTACATTCTTGTTTGAAAAGTGCTAGTGTGTTACTTTGTGAAATGTCTCTGAATATAATATTTGGTGTTTATGTGTGATTGGATTGATGTTAGTATTATGGGGAAGAAGCATTATGAGTGAAATTTCCTTAACATATCACATCAGAGGTACATGGCATCAATGTGAGTTCTCATTGATGATATCATTGCAGTCATTTGGTTATGGTGATGTGTGCCAGTGTCTTTATTGTTAAGTTAACAGTGTTTTGGACTGTGTTTGAGTGTGTCTCCCAAAGGTTTTTATGTTGGAAGCTTGCCCTGAGGGTGGCAATTTAAGAAGTGGTGAAAGCTTTAAGAGGTAGGACCTAGTGGAACGTAATTAGCTCATTACCTTTATTGGAGATTAATGTTGTTCATGCAGAACCTAACGAGAGATGTCACTTAAATGCATGATATCTTTTAGTTTCATTGAATTAACTTTGCAGTTAGTGATATACAAGATTAATGTAGTGATGTAG